CATGACTACGTACTGTAGCTCTTAACATCGAAAATTCCCACTGCACAGAAGGATACAATGAAGCAACTAACGATGCAAGGAATTAAATTACTTTACATTACTTATGTCCACATCAGTCCTTCTCCAGATTTTATTCCACCTAATTCAGGTAGTTTTATGAGTACAGAAGCAAAAAAAATATACTAATAACACAATTGATTCATTCCAAGCAGTAAATTTGCGGATTTGGACTTCCAAAAAAGAGACCATTCTTATCGATAAGTTTTAAAAAAATACATATTGAGCCTAACCTTCAAAAACATCCTTATGAAACTAAGGATACCGTAAAGTAGACTGATTTATCTGTTTTCCAGCTTCTGCTTATAATCAATAAATATTCTAAAAAAGCAACAAACTTTTCTAGTCACAACATCAAAAGTATAAGCCGCCTAGCAACACTGTGTGAACAGTAACGCTAAACTGCTCAATCACCAGTCTCACTTTTGATGGAGACAATGATGACAATATTTATGTGAATAGCCATTTTAGACCGATACGCCACTTAGCACCAAAGGGCAGCTTGAACACATCAATCACACTAGATATGACGCTTTTTGCGCCTTCATTACTGCGCTTTCTCCAAGAATAAAAACTTTAGATAAACTTCCAGCATGACACCGCAATTCTGCTTCACTAGATGTAATATAGATATATTGATATACAATACAAGATGTAATATAGATATATTGATATGATATAAATGAGCATTGAAGGCAGCGGAAATTCCGAAGTTATAAAAACAGCATACGTGAACTTCAATGATTAGAGAGATCATGGAGGTAGTACGGTTATGAAAGGAACGTAATTTGTAAAAAGCAATACAAATCCTTAAGTTACCTGGATTATCATCTCTGATAGCGGCTTTAAGAAGACCTTTCGCATCCTCAGCGCTGTACGGTGCCATCACCTAAATGCGCACGGACGAAGGTATAAGAACATACCAACTTCGAAACACTTTTTCAGAGAAAATATTGGAAGAAAATATCTTCAAAATGAATGTTCATTTGCGAATGCGAGATACGTTCACGAAAAAGTATATTTTTAAAAAAA